GCGCATGGCCCCTGTGTGTGCTGTTATCCGATGCTCGGCTGCTGGGGCGATGCGATAGAGAGGGCTCTGTGTGCCCGCTGTGGCACACATGCCATAGGTTCACCACCACAGGCCTAACCCTAGCCTGGTGCACTCCCCCAACCCTAATATGGGAAAAAATACCATTGAAAGGGGAAATTTTGAAAAAGCTTTCCTTAAGTAGCTTTTTTCTGCACAGCTCATCATTTCTGCCCATGCTAAACACATTCCAACCATCAAAATCGTGCCAGGACACCTCATTTTTCTAACCCTAACCCTACCCTGGTGCATACCCCCAACCCTAATATAGGGCTAAAGTTCCTTTGAAAATAATGCGATTTTGAAAAAGCCTTCCTTGAGTAGCCTTTTCTGCACTGCTCATCATTTCTGCCCATGCTAAACACATTCCAACCATCAAAATCGTACCAGGACACCTTGTTTTTCTAACTCTAATCCAGTGATGGTGAACCTTTTAGAGGCCGAGTGTCCAAACTGCAACCCAAAACCCACTTATTTATTGCAAATTGCCAACACTGCAATAAAACTTGAAAACAGCAAGTCCAGCAAATATGTATATATATCCTTGGCAGTGCACCGACCAGGCATGCGAAAGCTTGGACAAGTTGCAGCTAATGTGTCGTGGCTTGTGATGTCTGGCACCACTACTCTTTTCCGAACATGCACATGGCCCCTATGTGCGCTGTTGTGCTCGGCTGCTGGGGTGATGCCGGGGTGACTTGGCTCGCGTGCCGACAGAGAGGGCTCTGCGTGCCCACTGTGGCACGCATGCCATAGGTTCGCCACCACTGCTCTAGGGGTTCTCTCTTCCTTTTTTTAGCTGCGCGTGAGCTCACTCACACACCCCCCATTGTGATTTTCATAACATAAATCATAATGTTGCATTTGAGTGTAATTGGGCTTCTCAGTGGCCCAGTTGTGATATAACAGCCATAGTTTGTCATCGCATGCGTGAGCCACAGTGGGCAATGAGCGCATGCCTTCCCCTGTCCCTTCCCCCCTCCTCTGCGCACAACGGCAAGAGGTAGAAAACTCAGCTTCATGGCTCGTAACAGACTGCATTCATTCCTGCTTTTATCCACATGTTTATCTCTTTAGCATTTCCTCCTCCCCTTGCTCCACAGAGTAAGGGCAGCAAATGCAGTCCCCCCTCTTCATCGTCTTCTTTAACTTTTACCAGCTGTGAGGTGGGACAGGTTAGGCTAAGATGTCATGACTGGGGGGAAATAAGCTTATTAGCTAAACAGAAATGTTACACCTGCTCCGTAGTATAATGCTGTAGCCACTCTGTTCATTAATTAAATACTTCTTGGCTGTCTTCTAGGACAGACGCCTTTGCAGAGTGGCTTCATCAGCACTTGCAGTGATTGGGTCTGGTGGATGCCCAGCGGTGGTGTATTGCAGAGGTGGTTTATTTCACTGCGGTAAAGGCCCTCTTGTGTTGTTGCCCACCTAACTGTTTACCCTCCTCGGGCAAATGAAAGGGGCCTTCCTGTGCTCCCTCCTGTGCAAGGGAGAGAGCAGGACGACACATGAGCGATCCCAGAAGCACAGGGCAGAATGGAAGACAGCCGAAGAAGGTGCCGCTTGGCTGCTTCGCTGGCTGTTACTGGCCAGAGTCCCTTAGCCAGAGCAGCAACTTTTTCTCAACTTTGGCATCAGGCACTGGGCCATGGCCTAGCCGATGATGCACCAGGCCTGGAAGGGTGTCCTACACCCCAGCATGACTTGTGTCTACTTGGGGTGGCTTACAAGCCACCTGGGAAGCAGAGGGGTTCATCCGCCCAGTGGCTGAGTGGGCCATGTGAACCCAGTCAGAGCGGCTAAGAAAACAAGCTACTGCATTCAGATGGTGTGAGAAGCCATCCTGGCTTAGTGGAACCACTCCGGCTTGTTGTGCTGTACAAACCCAGTCACAGGCTCCACTTCTACAGACACGGTGCTGCGGTTTGGCTGAGAATGCTGGGAGCCGTTGTACCCTCCTCTCCTTCCAAGCAGCAGGTGTGGCCTTAACAGGACCACCTGCATGCCCCAGTCTCCTCCTGCAAACCATACACACTGCTTCCCTCTCCTTGCAAAACTCACAGGCAACCTGAAGATCCAACATGATCAGCTTGTGGTCTGATGAGATCTTGCAGTGCTCCCAAGATCCTACATCATTATGATCTTTATTGAAGGACCGAAGTCAATGTAAAGCATCAGATGGCTTGAAACAAGCATTTCTTGCATAGAAGAAAAAAAGGCCCGGAACCAAAGAACAGCACGGGTGCTGGTTGGAACCAGCAAATGGGCCCTGGCTTGTGTCCTGGAATGTGTACACACCACCTCCTCTTGGCTATGACTTAAAAAGTTATGACATCACCTAGTGATGTCCCGTTATGACACAGTGTCATCACCGTGTTGTTACATATGATGTTGAATGGGAGGAGCAGCTAGAACAGTGGTTCCATTTTGGCAGGAGAGCATTTGGGGAAATGAATGCAAGAAATGTTGCTCTCAGAGCATTTCTAAGCATGTTAGAATTTCAAGAACGATGCCATAATTCTCACCACCAATTCGAGGCTTTCCTATCTCTTTCTCTCTCTTTAGTCTTTTCATTTTCTGGGACTGCTTTCTCTCCCTCCTCTTAGTGCTTTTATTCTGTTATTGACACATGCATTAAACATTATATAACCCAACATCTTATCTCATTTTATACTGGCAATTTTCTACCTAAATGTACAACTCCATTGTTAACCCCCCCCCCCATTTTATATGAGTTTCTAACTACTGATAAATTTATACTCCTCAGTGCTACCCCACTTGGTGGCTTATCCATCAAAAGCTCTTTTTTATTGCTTTCATTTTGGCGTACAACTTTTCCTGTATTCATGGGGAAGAGATGACAACAGCAGGCAAGGCAGCCTTGGTTTTAAACAGTTTTGTGGGCATGTGATTTTACTCGCCATGTTTCATCTACTTGACTTCAAAGCTGTAAGTGTGAATCATGTTCTCTTCCTGAGGTCAGGTACCAGCTTTTAAGTTCCAACAAAGGCTTGGGAGCTTGAACAAAACTGTTACTCATCACCTTTGCAAATATAGATGGACCTGCTCCCTGCCAAAATCTAGGGATGGCTTTATAAAGTGTCGCATTTGCAGGTGTATGTAATGAGGTTGGACCAAAAGTATCTTTGATACAAGATGCTACCTGAATTCAGCTTCCATTGCAAAAGGATACTTTCACTGGGGGAGCATAATTTTTGTCACAGCTTGGAAGCCTAAATTGATAGCAGTGCCCAATGGATAATGTCTCCCTCTCTCGTCTCTGGCTGAGAATTCAGTTTACGGTCAAGGTTCAGATTCTGGTTTAATGATTGATTGTAAAACAAGGAAAATGATTGTGGAGGGGGTTTTTGGCTAATAAGACTAATAAGGCAATTAACATTTTACAACAATCTTGTTAAAGAGCATCCATTTGCGTGACAAGAGAATCTTTTTATGTTGGAGTTCTAGACATGAGCTATTACCGAAGACTACAGCACAGAGGCACAATGTCTGGCCCTATTTATGTGTTTTGGTAGACGTGAATAGGACATTTACAGCGGATGGAAAATGTAGTAGTATCTTCAAAATAACTGGAAGCTTTCTGAAGACAGGAAATTGGTTTCCTTAAGTTAGGAATGTTGGTATCCACCACTCGAAGGAGTCTTCTCCCTCCAACCACTTGCATATCAGATGTGATAATCCTGCATATAAGATCCCTTGTTCTTGGATCAAACAAGGGTGAATCCAAAGCTCCCGATCTTGCCAGGGATGGGAGTTGTTGACTTGTTTCCAATTGGCTTTGGTTTCATATTCAATTGTTGAATTCTAAGTAAAGTAGAGATTGACAGATGAATTCAAGGATGGTGATCCAGGGTATACACACAGGGCCTAATTATGTTGCCTGCCTCTTGTTTTGGATAAAATGGATTGATACCGATGAATCCTGAACTGTATCTATTTACAATGAAAAACCAGACACATAAATGTGACTCTTAAATGTTTCTTGATTCAATGTTCCAGTGATACAAGGTAAGAATATCAGGGGATTGTCTTGGTTGTTAGAGAGTTGGAAACGGCAGCATGAATGTAACTAACAGAAGACAGGGAATGGGATTGCATCTGATTGAATTCTTATCTGAGGATCTGTGAAAAAATGATTTCTAGGAAGATAATTGACTGGCATATTCCGTCTTCTCACCAATGCACCCACCGAGACAGACTCATTACTGGGGATGCTTGCTGTGCAAAATTAAGATGTCCCGTAGAACAGAGAGATTCATGCGTGATCATTCTGGGCAGCCAAGTTGGCAGCAAAGTAAGCCCTGAAATGTGAACACAGACATCACATAAATTATTTTTACGTATAAATAGTTTGGTGTGTGTTCACAGATAGAAATATAGTTAAATATGTTGCACTGAATTTCCTAAATCTGATGAATGCCGGCATTTACCTGTGCTGTTGATACTGCTAATCTAATTCTGTGACTATCTGGAAACTCAGAGATACTATTTCCGAACAGACCAGTCTCCGATGCATCACTATCGACATTCATTGAGGTTAGCCTGACAAAGTGTGGATTTTCCAGCACACACATAATTTGTGTAGGATTGTCAGCATCGCGACCGTGTCGGTATGCACCAAATGTTAGAGGTTTGCTGAAACAGATGCACACAGATTGTCTCTCACACATACACACGCATAGAGGTGTGTGTATCCTTGTGTGTACGTATATGAAGGCTAGATCTGTGTGTATATGTAGAACCGAACATTCACAAGTGCCGCATATGTATATGTTGTAACATGCTTGCTATACATATGAACGAGTGGCCCATCTTTCTAATTCCATGCACAGCTGCACTAGAACCATTGTGGGTTATGAAGTCACACTTCACAGATGCATGTCTCACTTGGCTTCATTCATGTTTCCATATGTATGTAGAAACATAGCAAAGCAGACATTCCTAGAGACATTGCAGGACAACCTCATTGAGATGGACATTCTCACCTCCTCCCGACATGACGGTGCTTACAATGATGGGTACGTTGACAATGAGCGTGGCTTTCCTGTGTTAATTGTGCCGTCCCCTTGCATGATAATGACCTCCTCTTTCTGTCCACTTCCTGTCTGTCATAATCAGCCCCTGCCCGTTTCCCTTTCTTCTCCCTCACAAGGAAAAGGTGCAGTGAAAACAATGAGGTACTTGACTATGTGGAACAAAAATTGTCCTGTACATATTAATGGTAGCCTCGTTAATATGCTGATCCATAGCATCTCATCGGCCTCCTCCTGACACCTGGGAAATCATTTCACTAACCCAGAAGCAACACTAGCACTTTAACCAGCCAAAACATTTGCTTTGCATCTCATTTGGAGACAGTTTCAGGGTCCTGACCTGGGGCTTTTCAGGTTTGTTGTCTGAACGTCGGGAAAATACCTTTTCGGCCTTTTTGACAGTTGTGACGACTCTCTCCAACTTCTTCCATGTTTATTTTTACCTACGGAAAATAAAGTGTTTTGTGCCCCTGGGGTCTCTCTCAGTAAAAGACACCCTTTAAAAAGAAGAACTAATTAGTACATTAATTAAACTCATTTTAACTCACAACAGCTTACAGTTTGTCTGGTCCCTTGTTAGGGTTGTGATCTGGAGGGCATATGCTACAATAATTTTTCTGAGACTAAGCAGATCTGGGACTCATCAGTACTGGGTCAGGATATACACACAGGATTTAAGGCATTCTGTGGTCCAAGGAAGGAAGGCAGGGTGCAAATGAAAAAAATAAATTATTACCAACTGGCAGATTATTAAATTACCAGTAGGACTGCATTCTAGCAGTGAAAATTATTTCCGTGCTCCTACTAGAACTAACACTGCAATTTTAGGTCATGCCATATTTAAGCTGTCCATTTAGCTCAGTATTCTGACTGTTAGGATAAGCCAGCCAGATGACACAGGGAAATTCAGCAAGGTGACAACCGGGCAGTCATGCAAACATAGAGATGGTTTTGGGCCCTCCGAGGGGAAAGTCAGCAGGTTTATTCCCTCTTGTGCTCACTGACCCTTTCCTGTGAATTCCCTATGAAGTGTCCCATGCAGGTGGGGGACACTACCTGTCAGAGACGTCTCAGCATTTCCAAGAAAAGATAAGTGGGATAAACACCCCCTTCCTGTCCACTGATGCTCTCCCACACTTACATTCTTCTCCCAACCCACTTTGAAGCAAACATGGGTATCTGAATCCCCGTGTTTTCCTCATATTCTGTGGCTCCACTGGTGGACCTGCAGATACTGGCGTCACTGCATCTGCTGATCCCCAGGTTGATAACTTAGCATCTAAGTGCTCCTATACGCAGGGGTTGTTGACTCATTGTTGGATGTCCTAGATGTTAAGCCCAGATCAGCCGTAGGGGCACTGAAAGTCCAGCAGGAGCGAAACCCCAGGGGCAGATGGACTGTAGTGCAAGTAAGACCCAGTTCTGTGCACACCATGCAGCGTAATAACAATTGCGGCCAAACACACATACAAGCTACGTCATCTGTGCTCGGAGGATACCGTTTCCCTTGCAACGTGATTAGAGAGCGGGCATAGCGTCGGTGTTGTTGCCAGTCGTCTTCTTCCTGTTTTTTAATTTGTATTGTCTGTGTTTCATGTCTTCCTTTTTCTTTCCTCGTTTTACTTTAAGAAACTCTTCCTCTCCTCTGCATGGTGCTGGTTCCTTGGTTTTTGCTTTGAACCAAAGCTGCTTTGCCTAAACCCGTCACAATGGCTTTGACATGTTAGAGAGCCGCTCTCTCCCTCTTTCTTTCCACAGGCACTTCCTGTTCAAACCAGGGGGCACCTCTCCCCTATTTTGTACAACGTCTCCCGGATATCCCTTGACGTCCAGCACTGTGTATTCACCTCCTCCCAGGCCTCTACCCAGGAGTACATTTTCTAGGCCTGCCTTTAATCTGAAGAAGCCCTATAAATACTGTACCTGGAAATGTGCGGCTTTGAGTGCCATCGTCATCTCGGTCACGCTGGTGATCCTCCTGGCGTATTTCATCGGTAAGCCTTTCCTTGCATTTTTGGCGTTCCTCATATCCTCCTTGACCTTTTCTGATATCCTTTGCAAATGCCGAAAGATACAGAGCTGGTTTTGTGCCATCCTGGAGGTGGGACGGACGTTTTCCCAGCGCTTTAATTTTTCAGAGGACGTTTTCTCATTCGTAAGTTCATTAATAACAATGAATGGATACCAAATGCAAAAACAAGATTAGGTAGCATGAATGTTACTTTGACAGTTTCAGAGTTGCTGGTAGGGGTCAAAATACCATGCACAGTTGTTTGGTTTGCTAAAATGTAGTTGTTTGTCAATCATTTTGAGTACCTTTGTTTTGTTCCTCAAATGTAAACAATGTAAGGGAAAAAACTGTTAGTGTCCTTAATTTTTTACAAGTATTTTTAGTTTTTAAAAGTATGCATGATATAATATTTGTACTTCTTCCATTAGTGTTTTTGATTGACTATCTCAGGTTATAAAAAATCATGTAGAGGCTTTTTAACTTTTGTTGTTTCTTAAATAGAAGTTAAATAAAAATGATAAAGTTGATCACCATTTAGAGTATCGTAAAATATTCTCATGTAAATTAGCCTAATTAACATTTTTCAAATTTTCTAATTGAAAGTTTTCCTGAAAGCCCAGATGAGTCGGCGTCATAGGTAGTATGAGGAAAATGGCAGTACAGCTAAATTAAGAGAAGTTTGGCTTTGTGTGCTGTTCCGCCTCTAATGAACTTGATTTTTCTGCTGGAAGAAAATGCAGTGATTTGTTGAACAGGTCTAATTGTGTTTTCTACAAAAAGCCAATAAGTAAACAGTCAAAACCTTAGTCAATTTCCAGGTGACATGTAGCATTCACCAAGATGACATGCAATAATAATAAAATATTCTCTTTATTCTAAAATTTCAACAGAATTATGAAAAGAAAGAAAAATGGCAACTACATACTGTTTAATATATCAGTCTCAACACATGCATATTTATTTATTTATTTATTTATTTATTAAAACATTTTTATGCCGCCCCATTCGCCGAAACCTCGGGGCAGCTCACAACATTAAATTAAAATACAAACATTAAGTTATAACATTAAGTTAAAATGTTTGTAAGATGCAAACATTAAGTTAAAATATAAAAAATAACAATATAAAATAAGAATATAAAATAAGTCACCCTGGCCAGATATGAAAACACAGCTTTCTAAGAATTAAGCATAAACTTCAGCAAAGGCTAGCCAAATATCCCAGTAAGTGTCCGTTTGCGAGTGGCATCTATATGCCAGCCATTCAGTATCAAAAACATTGTTAGGTCCTCGATCCATTGCTTTATAGGAACTGAGTTTTTATCCTTCCAGCAGTGTTAGATCGGTTGTTTAACTGTCAAAAGGGAGCAGAGAATCCATTTAGGTTGTCCATGTGCTAACTTCTAGGAAGCAGGTAGATCATTCAATAGGACATACGTAAATATTAAAGAGGGTTCCAAAACAAATTTTATCTGTATAATAACCTGCTCCCAAAAAGGGACATTTACTGGGCACTGTCAAAGCATGTGATAAGACCCATTAGTTCTGTTAAACTTCCAGCAATTAGCCAGCTTAGGCAAACCCTTATTAAAGAGACAATTTGTAGTCCAGTAGGCAAGGAGCAAATTTTTTTGCTGAATAAGATGTAGCCTGAGATCTTTAGATACTCCAGACACAGATGCTAAAGCAATATTCTATAGATTAGGCAAATGAAACACTCCAGTTTCCGTTCCATCCCTGCTTAGGATCCACTGAATCATACTGACAGTATTCACTGATTAGAAAGTATTTATAATCATGGATCATAGAATAATATAATCCATAAGCCTCAGTAAGTGCTTCCAATAGCAACAGAGACTCTGAAACTGTAAAAACACCAGAGCCAAGCCTAGATTCTTCCAGAATTTTCAATTGCAAGTAGTAGCCAAATCATATTTAGCACACAATACTGAGAATGACTAAAACTCATTATCGTTGTCCACTAATTGATCCAAACTGAAAATCAACTGATCCATCCAAGTCTGCTATATAAAAACAATATCTTTCCATTGTTTAATACTGGATTTCTTCACAGAATTGATTTAGCATGTGCAAATGATTCAGAATCTAACTGATGTGACATTTTATCCCACAAGGCTCTGATAGCTGTGTGGGGACCCCTCTCCATTTTAATATGCTGAGAACATAATATCTTCCATTTGCAGATAGGAAGATTCCAAATCAAACTAAAGTAGAAATTCTAATCTAAGTTGGAAAGACACATATTTAGCACAGGTCAACAAACAGGATGGATATATATGGTGAGATCTAAAAATCAAACTCACTTTCATTAACTGGTGAGGAAGAACCCTCCCAACCCCTCCCAAAAACATATGAACTCGTAGTTTTGAAAATATTTGCCAGGTATATGGAGAGGAATCTGAGATACAATATTCATCTTAAGTGTGTTTACCCATTAACTCAACTTTAATTATGCAATCTAACTATATTCTGTGAGATCTTCATTAATCAGCTTATTCAGATTTAGCTCAATGATTGGTGATCTGTCTCTGGAATCAGTTTTCCCAAATAAGGAACAGTATCTGGATATCCATAATATTCCTAAGTGGCTAATGCACTGCAAGATACAGCATACCCAATCACCATTAATTCAGACTTTGACCAGCTAATTAAATAACCAAACAAATCACCCAAATTATTGATTAACTGCCTCAAAGCTGGAGTAGGTAACTGTAGTTCTAGCTCAGTAAAAGATTGTCAACATAAAGGACAATTTTAAATTCTAAACAATTGTTCACAAAGCTGTGAATACTTCTAATCTATCTAATAACACACACTAGGGATTTCAAACATCATGATACTTTGCACAGCAAGAATCATTTTTTCCGATGCACATTCTTTTTCCGCTGTTCGATTCTTAGCCAAATCTATCTTCCCAGCATCCTTTCTCTTGTTTGCATTTACCATGCTTTTATGATACATATGCAGTGATGCTACATACAGTTGAGGTTCCAGGCTTAAAGCTTTGGGAATATCATGAGAAGGCAAGACTCACTGGAGGTGACAATAATACTAGAGAAAGTGGAAGGCAGAGAAAGACCAAACGAGACGACTCAGGTCCATCAAGGAAACCACAGTCCTGAGTTTACAAGAGCTGTAAAGGACAGGAGGTTTGGAAGGTATTCATTCGTAGGGTTGCCATAAGTCAGAGATGGCTTGACAGCATGCAACTACCAAAACCTTACCCAGGATTTGCAGTGTGTGTGAATTGTGTCTGCATCAGCCCTGGATTTATGAGTAGTATGTTGCCTTGCAACTGGAATAGTCATCCCTCTGCTTGTAATTTATATATTCGGTTTTATCATATACTACTTGTAAATGGATATATTGATCCTATAAGAGAGACTAAGGCACTTCCAAGGAGTCAAACAGTAGAAATATTTAGTGCCCAATGGCTACCATTTTTGTGATTTCAGAGTATCAGCATGGAAGCATCAGAGTGGGGAGCCCAGTGGGTTAGATTTTTTTCTTCATGTACAGAATATCCCAGGTATCCCAGGGCTATGCTTGAGCTTAGTATGCGGTTTTGCTTTCCCTTTTCTAATCAAAAAGAAAATATTTATTAAGTCAGTGGAACTGCTCAAGGGGAGCCAGTTGGAAAAGCAGTTTAAACAACAGTACATTCCCCATAAAAGATCTAGCATCTTTTTATCTCGTTTGGGAAGTCGTTGGATCACATGGAGGTAGAGATGGAAAATGGTTTGCTTGCATTTTCGGTTCCAGGAAGGGTTGAAATATTTGGGAGAAAAAGATGAACACATGGGAGCTCCTGGTCCACAGAAGTAGGTTTTATTAAGCCCGATGTGTTTCACGTTCTCCAGAGATGCTCCTAGGCACAAGCATGTGCTGTCCATGGTCTCCAACTTCAGTGGCAAAGTAATTCTGAAAGGTAATCTAAACAGATACTTGCAACTCCAAACTCAGATGCAAAATAATTATGCAGCATAATGCAGTTTTCTTCTTCTTCCAACATAGCTTAGATAACATAAACTGAAGCCAAAGAGTGCCCTGAAGAAAAATCCCGTGCAGATTGCTTTAGGCACAGTAAAACCTAAAGAGTACAGTTGTACTCTTGCACAACTGCCGTTTTCATCCCTTCTTATTCCTACATTTGATGCCTTCCCCTTTTGCAACTCCTGAACTGAGTTCTCATCTCTGGATGTCTGTTTTCCTGTGCTGAGACCAAGCTCCCAATTCAGGCTCAGTCACATCCTTCCTTTCATTCTTTAAAAAATTATAATCCCATAACCTTAAAAAAAAGGAATAAAATATCCTGCTTTCATTAAGCTCCTAAAACTCATAGCACAAGTGAAGGAGTTTGCTCTCAAGCAGCACAATCAAGCTGCCTCTTTTGATTTTGCAATCACTTCTTCCCAGCTATTGATCTAGCAAACGTTAGTGCTTTAACTTGCTGCAACTCTCACATAAGAGCTGAAATGCCTCCCTGCGGTATGCATGAAGTTGCTTCCTAACACAGCTGATCTTGTCTGCAGTTGTTCTTTTTGTTAACATTTCGTTAAGGACTGACTCTCCCTCTCCTCCTCTTCCCTGGCCCCCATTCTGGATTAGAAACTTGCCTTCGGTCACCTTTTTAGAGTGCTGTAATAGGATCAGAAATGATTAATCAGTTAGCATTACATTGGTGACAGCTTGATGGAATGTACAGTCATCTTTCACCATTTGCCAGATATATTCCGTTCTGGTGCCCCATTTATCTTGTGCTGTTCTTATGCACCAAGCATAAGCAGGTATTTGGACATTATCTCCGTGTGTCAAAGGACCTTGTTCCTAGTTCATGTGGAACTTTGGCATCTATCAAAACTAGGCAGTGGTGCATCCGTGTTTTGCATGGTGCCGTGCAAGTGTGAAAAGATGGTTTATTCTGTGGAATTCAGCATCCTCCCTAGCACTCATCTTTTTCAGA